TGAATGTGAATGTGATGTAGTATGCTGTTAGGAAATTCTATTTAGTGATGTGTTAGGAAATTCTGTTTAGAGTTGTGTTTAGTGTTGTGTTAGGACATTTTGGAAATTCTGTTTAGTGTTGTGTTTAGTGCTGTGTTTTGTTATTTGTATATGATGTAGTATGCTGTTAGGAAATTCTGTTTAGTGCTGTGTTACAAGTAATTGCTGCTAATTTACTGAAGGCACTAATTAGCAGAATATCTATTGTATTTCACAGAATATATATTGTAATTATCTATTAGCAGCAATATTTATTCCTTGTAGTTACTGCTGCTGGTGTACAAGTAATTGCTGCTAATTTACTGAAGGCACTAATTAGCAGAATATCTATTGTATTTCACAGAATATCTATTGTAATTATCTATTAGCAGCAATATTTATTCCTTGTAGTTACTGCTGCTGGTGTACAAGTAATTGTTGCTAATTTACTGCTGCTGGTGTACAAGTAATTGTTGCTAATTGTCATATCCAAACTTTAGTTTATTAAGTATGAAACTTATGCTTATTGGTACCAATATGTAATTTACCAGTATGGTTGTGTAATATATGAGTGTTTGATGCATATTCCAGTTATTTATTGAAAATTAATGTCATGTTGATGTGTTACAGAACAACTAGAATTCATTCTTCTATTTTAAGTACCAGAGATCCGAAGTTCATACCCTACAGACTGAAGTTACAACTATTTATGCCCATCTGACATTATATCAGGTTTGTATCGACATCCATCTATAACATTTGTTGGACTATTTTTCTGATATTTATGAATTTGATGTGAATTCCTAGTTTATGTTACTTGTTGCACTAGATGAGCATGTTCTGGTAGGCTAGTTTTTATATGACAAAATGAAATAATTTTGACAAATTGAACACTTTGGGTTGCTCTACTGTGTTTCTTTTCTGCTTGTTTTGCTTATACATATTTTCCATAAATGGTAGTATCCCCATAAACCCGATGGACAAGGAATGGACAAAGAAAAACCCCGCGAGTAAAGAGTACCAAAATGGTCTTGATTCTTTTCTAGATTATGCATACACCAAAGGAAAACCCCGCGGGAAAGAGATTTTGTGTCCTTGTGCTAATTGTTACAATAGCAATTGGTTTACAAGGAATGAAGTACGAAATCATTTAATTGCATTTGGATTTCAAAAGGGATATGACGTTTGGGTTCGACATGGCGAGAAGAAACTGAAACTCGGTGATCTTAATAATAATCATATGAATGAAGAAGAGGATCAAATTGACGATATTGATGGACTATTGCATGAAAGATTTAGAGATGTTGTACAAGAAGAAAACGATGTAAATGTAAGCCTCAATGAAGATGCAAAAAAGTTCTATAATCTAGTCGAAGAAGCCAAACAAGATTTGTATCCCGGTTGTAAAAACTTCTCTAAATTGTCATTCACCATTCGTCTTTATTTATTGAAATGTCTTTATGGTTGGAGCAATGTATCATTTGATGCTCTATTAGAGTTGTTGAGAGAAGCTATGCCTTCATTAAACATCCCTGATACGTTCAACAAAACTAAAGGCATGATAAGGGACTTAGGGCTAGATTATAAGAAGATCGATGCTTGCCCTAATGATTGCATGATATATTGGAAAGATCACGAGAATGATACTTCTTGCCATGTTTGCGGTGCTCCACGATGGAATGAAGATGTCAAAGGAAATGATCATGTTGAAAAAAACATAAGTCTCATAAAGTTCTTTCAAAGGTTTTGAGGAACTTTCCGTTGATTCATAGACTTCAAAGACTGTTTATGTGTTCAAAAACAACTAGCTCATTAAGGTGGCATGATGAAGAGCGTTCGAAAGATGGGAAGTTGAGGCATCCTGCAGACGCAGAAGCATGGAAATAATTTGATAAATGTCACTCTGAATTTGCTGATGAGCCACATAATATAAGACTTGGATTGGCCAGCGACGGATTTAATCCATTTAGAACCATGAATTTGTCTTATAGTACTTGGCATGTGGTATTAATACCATATAACTTTCCACCTTAGTGGTGTATGAAGGTTGAGTATTCTATGTTGTCTTTATTAATCCCTGGACCACTTTCACCAGGGAATAACATTGATGTATAACTTCAACCATTGATAGAAGAGTTGAAAGTGTTATGGGATTTGGGTGTAGAAACATATGATGCATCACTAAGTCAAACTTTCCAAATGCGGGCAGCTCTCTTGTGGACTATTAGTGACTTTCCTGGGTATGCTATGTTGAGTGGGTGGAGTACAAAAGGGAAACTAGCATGTCCTTGTTGTAACTATAACACTAATTCAATATATTTGAATTATAGTAAAAAGGTGTGTTATATGGATCATCGTGTTTTTCTGCCTGAGAATCATAAATATAGGTCAAATGCTAGGAATTTCAATGGGAGCATAGAAGATAGGCCACCGCCGGAGTTGTTAACTTGGGAAGAAATCTCAAACAATCTAAAGTATGTCAACAATTCTTTTGGGAGGTTGCAAAAGAAAAGTAATACTGGTCCATGGAAGAAAAAATCAATATTTTTTGAGTTACCATATTGGAAGCATAATAATTTACGCCACAACCTTGATGTGATGCATATAGAGAAAAACATTTTTGATAGTATAATTGGGACTTTGTTGGATATCCCAGGAAAGACAAAAGATCATAAAAACGCACGTTTAGACTTGAAAGAGATGGGTATTAGAAAGAAACTTCACCCAAATGAGGTAGATCAAGGATAAAAGTCAGTGTTTGCCAAAGCATGTTTTTCCATGACTACAAAGGAGAAAACTACTTTTTGCTCTGTATTGAAAAATGAAAAAATACCTGATGGTTGTGCTTCAAACATTTCAAGATGTGTTCAACTTGCTGAAAAAAAAGTTAGCGGATACAAGAGCCACGATGCACATTTCATGTTGCATTACTTGCTTCAAGTGGCTGTGAGATGTACAATGCCAAACCAGGTTGCACATCCATTAATCCGTCTTTGTTCATTTTTTCGTTGTTTGTGTCAGAAGGTGATTGAGGTGACAGATTTAGATATCTTACAATCTGAGATTGCAGAAACACTTTGCCAACTCGAGACAATTTCCCCCCGAGTTTTTTTGATATAATGGTTCATTTGCCAATACATCTAGTGAATGAGGTAAGAATGGGAGGACCTGTTCAATTTCGGTGGATGTACTTTCCAGAAAGATATCTAGGAAAATTGAAGAGTTATGTTCGTAATAAAAGTCGTCCTGAGGGTTCTATTGCTGAGGGTTATTTGGTTATCTATTGTATTTCACAGGATTATGTGTTGTATGTTATGGCTATATTGTGAAATGTGATTATCTATTAGCAGCAGTATTTATTCCTTGTAGTTACTGCTGCTGGTGTACAAGTAATTGCTGCTAATTTACTGAAGGCACTAATTAGCAGAATATCTATTGTATTTCACAGAATATCTATTGTGATTATCTATTAGCACCAGCATTTATTCCTTGTAGTTACTGCTGCTGGTGTACAAGTAATTGCTGCTAATTTGAAGTGGAAATTTGAATGTGAATGTGATGTAAATATAACAGCAGTATTTGAATGTGGTGTACAAATAATTAGCAGCAGTATTTATTCCTTGAAGTGGAAATTTGAATGTGAATGTGATGTAGTATGCTGTTAGGAAATTCTGTTTAGTGCTGTGTTAGGAAATTCTGTTTAGAGCTGTGTTAGGACATTTTGGAAATTCTGTTTAGTGTTGTGTTTAGTGCTGTGTTTTATTATTTGTATATGATGTAGTATGCTGTTAGGAAATTCTATTTAGTGCTGTGTTAGGAAATTCTGTTTAGTGTTGTGTTTGGTGTATGTGATGTTGTTATTGAAATTATTATTGAAATTATTATGTTTAGTGTATGTGATGTTGGAAATTCTTATTGAAATTATTATGTTTAGTGTATGTTATTGAAATTATTATTATCTATTGTGTTTAGTGTATGTGATGTTGGAAATTCTTATTGAAATTATTGAAATTCTTATTGAAATTAATGAAATTAGTGTTGTGTTAGTGTTGTGTTTGGAAATTCTGTTTAGTGTTGTGTTAGGACATTTTGGCAGTTTTCAAGAGTTAGCAGTCAGTGATGTTAATGATGTTGTTTGTCATATTCAACATCATCGTCATCATCGTGTTTTTACTTCTCCATGTAATTGTTTTTACTTTCTGTTGCAGGAAAATGACGAACCGGAATGATTTTGTGTTTGATTTCCAAGCTAAGTCTAGCACGAATTTAAAGAGGAAGATGAAAATCAAGGTTGAAAATGAAAAAGCTTTAAAAGACAACCCAACAAACCAAGGAAGCAATCCTATAAACACCAATGTTGGAAACATTCAAAAGCTGGACCATCGAAAGAAATTGAAAGTAGAAGTCTCTAAGAAAATGGTTGAGCAAAGCAAAGTGTTTGTACCGAATAATAACATTAGAAGTCAATCGGAAGTAGAAATTTCTAATAAAGTTGCCCAGCCGAGCAAAGTGCATGTTCTCAATAGTAATAAGAGGCAAATGGAAGTAGAGGCCACAAAGGAAATTACTGAGCCAAGAAAAGTTCTTGCTCTGAATAATAATACTATAAAGAAATTGAAGTCAACGGTGGATCATCAAGTTAAAGGTTCAATAGAATCACAAGTCTCAAAGAACACCAGTGATCAAACCAAAAAGGTAATTTATAGTACTTTCTAATTCTAATAATGGGGACAACCTCTTATAGTAATGTATTGATTTCTTAAATGAATTTTTAATTATTATTGGTTGATATGAAGCTAATTATTCTTTTACATTCAGATTTTGCAAAGCCTTAACAATACTATAAACAAGTCTCAACAATCCTTTGAGAAGAAAAAAAGTCTTCTAAAGTGTCCAACCATGCCCCTTACCGAATGTCTCGATAAAAATAAGGAAAAAATGGAGTTGAGGAATTCGACGATGAAGATACAGAAGAAAATGAAATGGAAGGATATATGGAGAATGATAGCATTCATAATGGTAAGGAAGTTGAGGGAACAGATGTAAACAAAGCTGAAGGTAATACCTTAGGTACTTCATCCTCAGGATTAACAAAAAAGCGGGGAAAGACGTTATGTCGAAAAATTCATGGACGAAAATTCAAAGATAGACAAGAGATCACCTTGAATAAAGAAGGACAACCAATTGGGCCAGATGAAAAGACAGTGTCTGAACTCAGTAGTTTTTTGGGGACACTAGGAAGAAGTTCAGATTTATGTCCTCTCACTTTCACTAGTTGGATTGATTTGGTCAAGCATTGGGAGGAACACAATTTGGATCCCGTGTGGGATTATGTCAATGTAATTAGTTTTTTATTTGATTTTGTGTTTTTTTAACATACTTTAATGTATATAATATTCTAAATATATATTTTTGCAGGAAAAATACAATATCCCAAAGGAAGGAAAGAAGGTTGTATTTGCTATTACAAATGGTGCTTGGAGACGATACAAATGCTCGCTTAAAAGGAAGCATTTTAGCAAGTATAAAACCTTGCGCGAGCAGCTAAAAAATCGTCCACAAGAGGTACCAGAAGAAGATTTTAGAAAGTTATTGGAGTATTGGAGAGATGACAAAACTCTAGTAAGTATGTAGGACTGTTATGCTGTTAGTACTGTTATGCTGTTAATAAGTTAGTAAGTATGTTGTTAGTAAGTATGCTGTTAGTACTGTTACTAAGTATGCTGTTAGTACTGTTATGATGAAGAATTAGTAATAAGTTAGTAATATTAATAAGTTAGTAATATAGTACTGTTATATATTAATTAAGTTAGTAATATTAATAAGTTAGTAATAAGTTAGTAATATTAATAAGTTAGTAACATAGTTAGTAATAAGTTAGTAATATAGTACTGTTATATATTAGAAATTGAAAATATAAGTACTGTTATATATTAGTAATGTTATATATTAGTAATATTAATAAGTTAGTAATATAAGTCAGTAATATAGTACTGTTATAAAGTACTGTTATATATTAGTAATTAAGTACATATATTGCAACATATTAATAAGTTAGTAATTAAGTACTGTTATGAATGAAACATATTAATAAGTACTGTTATGTATGTTAGAAATTGAAAAAGAGTTAGGAAAATATAAATGAAATTGGATGGTTGGTTTGTATATATATTGCAAATGTGTATGTATGGATTCGAAGTGTTGGATATGTGTGTGTATGTAGGAAGTCAATCATCAAAATGCCGAAAATGTAGCTCAACTGAAATGAAGACATCGAATGGGGAATAAAGGTTTTGCTGTTATAAGAGAAAAAATGGTATTCTTTTCTAAATTATATTTTAATTGAATATTAAATTGTGTTATTTTATTAATACTCTCATACTATTGTTTTACTTGGTTTAGCGTGAAAATAATGAAGATAAAGAACCTCCGACTCAAGCTGAAATGTTCATTGCTACTCGACAAAGTAGGAAAGGAAAGGAGTTGGATCAAGAAACCAACCATGCAATTGTAAGTTATTATTGTTAGTGTTATTTTTGTTAGGAGTGGATCAGACTTGTATATTATGAGTAATGTTCAAATGACAATTGTCCCTTGCCTCTTATTTACTAGTATATATTATGTATGTTAGATAAAACTTCAAGACTTGATTAAAAATCATGGAAAACCTTCTTCAGAAGCTTTTGAAAGCGTATTGGGCAAACAAAAACCTGGGAGATTGCGTTGCCACGGAAGAACCACAACACCGACTCTCTTGAAAAGAAACGAAGAAATTTCAAAAATTAAAAGAGAGCATGCTGCTGAGATTAGACAATTTAATGACAGGTTACAAGAGATGGAAGAAAAACATCGTCAAGATAAAGAAGAAACTGATAGGAAAATTCAGGTTCTTCTTAAGACTGTTTTGAATCAAAATACCTCCGAGTTGAATATAGAGGCTTTGGCAGCTTTGGATATCAACTCCTGCAACTGATGCTAACAGTGTCTTACGTTCTTCTACATCAACACATGCTCCAACTAATGATCAAGTAAGATTTGTTACATTCCTATGTTTTAAGTGATTTTATATATGTGGATTATTTACTTGGAGTGAATTATTTTATTTTTCATCATTCAAATAATAATCTTATTTAAGTTATATTATTTTTATTTTGCAGGTCATGAATAATAATAACAATGAAGATTTTAAATTTGAATATGAAGAAACGTAGATGTAGAGATGTAGATGTTTATGTTTAATTTTATAGATTAAAGATGTTATTTTGACTATGAATGATGATTGACATTGGGATCGATATGCAATTTGAAGATGTTTTGTTGACATTACGATATGCAAGATCAGGTTTATAAAAAAAATTGAAGATGTTTTTTTTATAAATATTTTGTTGGATCATTTTCAATTTGAAGATGTTTTGTATTTGAATATTATTATATAAAAAAATTGTGAATGATGTTATTATCAGGTTTATAAAATAAAATAAAAATTTATTTTATTAAAAAATAAATAAATTTATTTGGTTTATAAAATAAAATAATTTTTTTTGCAACAGTTACAAAGTGTGTCTGTAGTAAAGAAGGCGTTGCTATAACCTATGAAGAAAAAATGAACTTAAGACTCTATTAGAACAGTTTAGAATAGGCTACGGCTAAGAACCGTTGCTATATTCCATAAAATAACTGTATTCAAATAAACAACAACTGCAACGGTTTAAATTTGAAAACGGCCTCCAGTCGTTGCTGTACCAAACCGTTCTCTATATAAAATTACAGCAACGACTCTGAATAAGGCGTTGCCGTTGGATAATAAACTGTTCCTAAAGACTAAAACAACGCCTTAGTTTAGAACGTCCTGAAAACCGTTCTCATAAGTAAAGGCAACGGTTTTTTAGATTTTGCAACAGTTTTTTTGTGTTGTTGTATATTCAAAATGTTGTAGTGCTAAACTTCATCATGAACCATGGGTTTAACAATGGCAGGAGTTGTCCAGAGGCTTGATATATGTTGTCATGACTCCTTATCACTATAATAAAAACACTCATTTATGACTCCTTATTGTTGGATTCTTAGATGACCATAAATTTTGTTACAAAGAAAATTTGTGAGGGATTGAACCACCACAAATTTGAGAGGGTTTTCTTTGCCACAAATTCTCCTTTCACTTATTATAACTGATCTGACATGATCAGAAGGGGATCACGGGCTGGCCACACGCTGTTGGACTGCTACCTGTTCACCGGTGATGAGGAGGAGAAAGGGGGTGTACCTGCAAAACACTCCGATGCCAAAGTAAGGAGTTGGGCAGAGTGAGAGCAAAGTACAGAAAGTGGGTAAGGAGTGAATTACCTGACCCTCTTGAGGAAGAGGGTATTTATAGAGAGACCCCAGCGCTGGGCCAACGGTCACTTGCGTTGGGCTGGATTGCCAGGCCCAACCCAGGTGACTGCTAGGGCTTACGTGGCGTAGTGAAGGTCAGGACGTGGTCTTCGCCCTAGTCCAATTGTCCTGAGATCTCTGGAAAGTGGGTTTGACCTGCTCTTTCGGAGGTGGGCAGTTGGGAGGATGACGTGTCCCCGCGGAGGGGGGCACGTGGAGAACGTGCGGCTGACACGTCGTTCTCCCCGCGGAGGGGAGCTCGAGGGACTCCCTGAGGGCACGTTATTCTCCCGCGGAGGGGATCCCATGGGATCCCCGGGCGGTGTGTGGCTCTCCCCTGTGGGGGGGAGCACAAGAGAGCGGGGCGGACGTATCGTCATGCCCGTTGGTCGGGGATTCTGTCCGGGGAGGTCGTCCTGTCCGACTAGGGGAAGCGCTAAGGACAATTAGAAGCACGCCGTCCGGCTTGGCAGGGAGCGTATCCTGCCCGTCTTGTGGGGGCTGTGCGCCCGGTCAAACTGCTCCACTCATTGGGCCTTGCGCGTTATTGGGCTGGACCACGAGGCTGGGCCCAGGCCAGAACAGGAGCCCCCCAAGTTGAAGCTCTGCGTCGGAAGAGCGAGGACTTAAGGTCGTTGCTTCGGAAGAAGAGGTAGCGAGGCGGGTGGCTCGTCGGTCTTGTGTCCGGTGGGACGCGGGCACGCGCGAAGATCTTCTTGTCGTCGGGAGAGCGGGTTGGAGGCACATGAAGTGACGCGACCGTCAGGTTACCGCCATGTGTCGCATGTTGAGTGGGTAGTAGGGCGGCTACCCTAGGGCACTTAAAAGCCTAGTGTCGCTTCGAGTTCCGCGCCGGGTTATAAATATGGGGGTCCCCGCTCATTTTTTTACTTTCCACCTTGCTGTCCTACCTGTGAAGCTCTGAGATTCCTCCTCGTCCGTCGTCGTTGTCAATCGCCGCCGCACCGTTAGTTCTTCCTCCCGTTCGCCACCGTCACAAGTGAGTTTTCTTCTTCTCTTCTTTTATTTCCGCCATTTGATTTGGGTCCGTGGTCGGGGCACGATGAATGCCCCGAGGAGAGATGCGAGTTTCCGCCGTATCCGATGATTTTTTAGGTTTGTTTAGACGAATTCCCTGAGGAGGATCGATTGTTCCGATGAATGCCTCGGGGATGGGTGCATTCTCCGATGAGTATCCCGGGGAGGGGCGATAGGTTAGCTTTGAATACCCCGTGGAGAAGTGGCGGGGAGTGTCCCTCGGGGGGCGCCCGGATGCTCGTCTTTTGCTCGCTCACCCGTTGTCGTCGCCCTTTCACTTGACCTGCGGTGGAAGGGTGGATTTGATCCTGGCTATCGAATTCACTGCTATCCTCTGCTTTTCAGGTGTACATGTCGGTCTTGATACCGGGGACGATGGTCGAAGACAGTAATCCCGAGATCCCAGAATTTGACGAGCGGGTCCTCCCCGTCGAGAGTGGGTGGCCGAAGAGCCGCTGTCCACCCCCTCTTGCTTCGTGCTCGACGCGTCCGATGTCTACGCTACCGTGGAGGATAGGTGGGAAGGGGAGCCGCAACACTGGCAGGCGTATCGCCCGAAGGAGCATCATCGCATCTGCTCGAGATATGGGTGGCAGATGTTTCCCATGCACGAGTTCTACTTCAAAGAGGCCCGGCTCAGATTGCCGTTCTCCGCTTTCCACTTGGGCCTTTTTGACTGGTTGCGTTTGGCCCCGTCCCAGCTGCATCCCAACGCTTTGGCCTTTATCCGTGCGTTCAAGGTGGTGTGCTATTATCTCGAGGTGGAGGCCACGGTGCCCTTGTTTTTTCGCATCTTCCACTTGTAACGCCAGTCGGTGAATGGCCGTCAGGGATGAGTCTCATTTAAGCAGCCGACCAAGCTCTTCAAGACGTACAACGATTCTGTTCGAGACTTCAAGGGTCAGTTCTTCCTCGTTAAACCGGTCACCCAGGAAGGCTCAGATACTCTTTTTACCGAGGGAGAGCAAACGGTAGACGGCCAGCGGTTCCTTGCGTGGCTCCCCAAGGTAAATTTATTGTGGACTTCGGAGCACTTCAACTGTGGTACTGATCGGTACATCGTGCGGGATGGGACTCTCGACGAGAGGGACATGGCCGCCTATATGAAAATAGTGGCCTTTGTGCGGGATCTTCCCCCGTCGAAACTGGTGACGCCCGACGGTCGGTACATCCTCGACGCGTAGGGGAATGTGCGGACGAAGAAAAGACTGATTAATACGAAGACCCTGCTCGGTTGTGCCACGGGGGCGGACGCTCTGGAATATCTCGGTAGATGATGTTTCTTCTTTCTCGTGATCATATGTTTTGTCTGTCGCTGACTCTCTGTTTGTTTTTGCAGCGAACATGTCTTCCATCGAGGAGCGGGTGAAGAAGCTGCGTGCCTCAAGGGTCGCCGCAATCCCGAAGACGTGGGTGAGTCAACTGGTTGAGCAGGAGGTCGTGACGCCGGGAGGCCAGAGTTCGTCTTCTTCTCCTCAGGAGAGCCAGTCTCCTACGTCTCAGGGAGCTGCGAAGAGGTCGAGATCCGAGGAGCCCAACAGCCTGATTGATCTGACGACTGGCTCGGCCGAAGAGGGCTACGTCGTTCCGCCGTGCCACCAACATCCGGGCTATTTTCACGGGGCCTGGTCTCCTACTGTTTCCACTGGGGAAGTGAAGGTTGTTCGCGAAGCCGATCGAGAGTCTCGTCGACGCATCTTGGCGGAGGATTTGGCTGCGATGATGCGGACATTCACGACGGACCTGGTCCTGAATGAAGAGGGTTGCTCTGCCGCTGAGCTGTCCAAATTGCAGGGGGACCTTACCTTCATGCAGTCGCGCCTGGCCAAGCTTACCGAGGAGCTAGAGAAGAATCGGAAAGATGCTGCCGACCAGCGCAAGCGAGCGGAGAGTGCTAAGGGGAAGGTGGCCTCGGTGGAGGAGAAGTTGGGGGCGGCCGTGGCCGAGGTGCAGGCGCTGAAAGTTCGCATGGAAGTCCTGGACAGCGCGCTTCATCCAGCCGAGGACGAGAATAAGGAAGACCAGCGGATGATCACGCGTGCTGATTTGGTCGCCCGGATTCGGGTGTTGAAAGGCGATTGTTTGGATGCTGTCGAGGTCGGGTTCAAGAGCGCCGTTGTGCAGATCCAAGTTGTCAACCCTGACGCCACACTGATCGTGGAAGGGATTGGGCCGTATCATGAGATCGTTGACGGGAAGGTGGTTGACCCCGAGCTTGTCGTTTCCGACGCTAGACCCGTGGTTGCTGAGCAGGAAGGCGAGGTGGCATAGGTTTCCCGGGCCTGCGTACTCGTAGTTTCTTGGCCTGCGTGCCGATATTTTGTAACTTGTTTTTCTTTGTTGGGCCTGCGTGCCCCTGTTCGTGTAATATTGACTACTGGGTTGGTGCCCGTTTTTGCTTAATATATCTTTTGAGAATTTTTCTAAGTGTGCGCTCGGTATTTGCACGATGTTTGTGCTCGTCTTATTTTCGCATTTATTTGTTTGCTTGAATTGTATGTTTGATATGTATGTGTTGGTATGCCTTTTGGGCTTGTCCAGGTGTTAGCTCGACAAACTTGT